ATGGCTTTTGTTGGACGCAGTGTTGCAGTGAAAACAACTTCACACATAATAATAGACATTGAAAATCACACAGCCTTTGAAAATTGTAAAATACTATAAATACTATAGCAATTAATTTATAATTAAATTATTTTACAAATTATACTAAAATAACATATATATTAATTTATTTAAATAGGATTTTAGCTAAATTTGTGTCATAATTATTTAAATTAAAATACTTTTGTATTTTTTACCGATTTTAAGCATTACTTCAATCGGTAACCAAATTAATAGCACTCATAATAATCACAATTAAATCAAATGCTCACAACCGGCGCAACAGGTAGACAGAGAACCGGTAGGGTCGGCATAATTAGTATAACCGCATTGTCGGCATATTTTATATATTTTATAGTCGAAAGCTCCAGAACTGTCTGTCGGAGACTTGGCTGACATCGAGACTTCCATCAAGTCTTCAGCTGTAATGATATAATAAGCCGTAAAAACTTTGGACAAAATGATTAGTAATGTATTTAATACCAGATATCTGTGTCCACTTATCACACGTTATCTTCGGTGATGATTGTGTGGCAGGGGATCCAGTGGTCGCACCGTAGCTGAGTAAGTTTGGAGGTCAGTTAACGTTATTGAGAGCTGTGTTTGCCGACAAGAGAAGCTAGTTAAGTAACTGGTCTAAAACCATTAGGTAACGTCCGAAACAAAGTTACGTAAGCGAGTAATCAACCGGAAGGAAATGGATGTGTTTTACAAAAAATATATAAACTATTATTAATTACTAATGATAGCTATTGGCTGACACATAATGATTGGCATAATAGCACTGATTAGTCAATGATTCACTTAAAACCGTATACTTTACGCACTAATAAGTATTAAAAAATAATAATTTGCATCAAAAAAGTTATTTAAAACTCAAAACTCTTGCCTCAAAGCAGTAGTTAAAAGCATTCAAATCGAGTGACTATTACTGTACACTAATTCACAAAATTATTTATACAAATAGTCTGAAAAAAATCCTAAAGAAATCCACGATTGTATCACTCATTTGATCCGATGTTTCTTCATATGAGTGCGCAGTCGACTCATGAACGCCGCCCTATACTGACAGTCGGGCCACTCGCAGGCAAACGGCCGGTCCTTATGCTGATTAGACATATGGGCCGAATCGACTCATTCAAACCTCCAGTCAATTGCAATAACTCTCGACACAAACGGCTGTTCTCTTCGATCAATTCATTGACCAGATTTTGGTAATCCATTGCAGGCTTTGTTTCAATGCATTCGCTCATTAGGACCGGAAGGAAATGGATGTGTTTTACACAAAATATATAAACTATTATTAATTACTAATGATAGCTATTGGCTGACACATAATGATTGGCATAATAGCACTGATTAGTCAATGGTTCACTTAAAACCGTATACTTTACGCACCAATAAGTATTCAAAAATAATAATTTGCATCAAAAAAGTTATTTAAAACTCAAAACTCTTGCCTCAAAGCAGTAGTTAAAAGCATTCAAATCGAGTGACTATTACTGTACACTAATTCACAAAATTATTTACACAAATAGTCTGAAAAAATTCCTAAAGAAATCCGCGATTGTGTCACTCATTTGATCCGATGTTTCTTCATATGAGTGCGCAGTCGACTCATGAACGCCGCCCTATACTGACAGTCGGGCCACTCGCAGGCAAACGGCCGGTCCTTATGCTGATTAGACATATGGGCCGACCGGTCGCCCGTTGTCGCGAACTGTTGGTCACAGTGTTTGCAGTCGAAAGGCTTAGCGCCGGTATGTTTGTTGAGATGTTCCTTCATTTTGCTGTTACAGTCAAACCTCTGCTCACAGCCCTTCCAAATGCAGGCCACGGGTCGGACGTAACTCTTATCGTGGACTCGCTGTCGATGGAGGAGTAGATGACTCTGTACTCCGAACTGTTTATCACAGCCTTGAAAGTCGCAGACAAACACCCGGTTATGGGACTGTTGTATGTGTGCCCGTAGTTTACGCAGAATGGGGTACGTCTTGTCGCACATCTCGCACCCGTAGACTTTAACGGTGCCGTCCGGGCCGGGATGTACTGACCTTTTATGGTCCATAAGCGACAGTTTCGTGGCGTACGTCTTGTCGCACTCGTCGCACCCGTATCGGTGAGTGTGAGTGCGTATGTGTTTCGTGATATTGGAGTTGCCTTTCGTGCGGTACTCGCATCCTGGTGTCGGACACGTGAGCCACAGGCGGTCGGGAAACTCCTCCGGGTGTACGTTAATCTGATGGCTGTTCAGTAGGGCTTCCGTTTTGAACCGCTGGTTACAGTCGTTGAGTCGGCACCGGAAGGGACGGTCGCTCCTATGCACGACTGAGTGTTTGGCGATTAGTCGCTCGCGTTTTGCGGTGTACGCACAGCCCTCGTAGCCGCACCGGTAGCCCTCACCGCACGGGTAGATCGGGATATCAGTTGTTTTCGACTCAAACAACTGTTGAGTTGGCGAGTACTGAGCGGAACTGTCGTCAAACGTCTGCTCCATAACCTCATCGACGTTACTCTCGAGACCCGAGTCGTGGACAAGGAGTACGTGAGCCCTGAGCTCCATTTCCGCCACAAACTGTTTGTCGCAACCGTTGAAATCGCAAACAAATACCTTATAATGCGTTTGCTTCACATGAGTCTTAAGCGCCGACAGACAGTTGTAGGTCTTGTCGCAGTGCTGGCACCGGTACTCCACGACACCAGTATGCACGACACTCCGGTGCTCGTCGAGCGTGCGCTGTCGGGCGTAACTTTTGCCGCATTCGTCGCACTGGTATCGCACACCGGTATCCGTATGGCTGCGCATGTGTTTCGTGAGACTCGAGTGGACTTTGGTTTTGTACTGACAGTCAGTCACCGAACACGTGAACCACTTCTTGTGGGGGAACTCCTCCGGATGGACCACAATCTGATGGCTACGTAAGTGGGCGTCCGTTTTGAACCATTGCCGACACCCGTTGGCGGTGCACCGGTAGGGACGGTATGTTTTGTGTGCCGTGAAGTGAAACACGACATGTTTTCTGTTGGTTGTCGTGTATTTGCAGCCTTTATAGCCGCACCGGTAGCCCTCAACGCACGGGTAGATCGGGATTTTAGGCGATTTCCTGTCTATGGGTGTCTTATTCTCGGAGTTTTCTGTCGTTTCCGTCGATTTGTTCACTAATTGATTGAAAATTATATTATGAAAGAGAGAGAGAGAGAGAGAGAGAGAGAGAGAGAGAGAGCTGTGGTTTAAACGACAACTGACCGTAACTTTTGGTGACATTCCCTCTATTGATGTGATTCAAGAAGTCCTCACATTTGGTGAACAGATGGTCGCAACCGAAGCACTTGAGTGGCATCGGAAGCGCTGTCATCAGACAATATCCCTCCACTGTCTTCGTGTTCGCCATCGACTTCTTAGACCTGTCTTTCGCTTTAATCCGTGTCTTAAGCATCGAGTCATTGATGAAACTCTCATAACTCGTGTCTTCAGCGATCTGATCCGTACAGTCATTATCTGTGAATCAAATGAACGGTTAATTCATAACACAATAAATGAATTGATAAACAGATTTACAGATAATTTGTTGGCAGTGATGGCAAACTCTGGTTATTTCAGTGGTCTTTGGCTTAACGTCTTGATCAGAGATCAAGTCAGTGATAGCATTGTCATCAGTCATGGCCATCGATGTCTTGCGAGTGCTGTCATCGGCGGTAATCTGTTGTTTGAATGACTCGTAACTCGTGAGGTGTGTCTGGATGTCTGCGCGGATCCGCTGAACCGTCGATAGCTTGCAATCGCAGTCCACTTCTTGTGTCAACTCAATGGCAAAAGTCGTGATATTCTCCAGACTTTTGATCGCTTTCTTCGCGAACATTAAGTCACGGATCAGACGATTATTTTCGGCAATCATTTCATCCATGAGTTTGTGGACACTATTCACACGTCTTATCACTTAAAAGTCGTGATATTCTCCAGACTTTTGATCGCTTTCTTCGCGAACATTAAGTCACGGATCAGACGATTATTTTCGGCAATCATTTCATCCATGAGTTTGTGGACACTATTCACACGTCTTATCACTTCAATGGACACCAAAATGCTGTTCACTCTTATCCGACAAAAACACTTCAAAACATAAAAAATCACAAAAATATTTGTTTTCAAAACAAAAACATACGGTTTTGGCATTACATTCATATACAGCGTACGCATAGTAACAAGTATTGGTACTTTTACTATACAGTGTACTCAATGAGTATATTGTATGAAAAGGTAAAATAATATCGGGTTTTATTATTAAGATATTTTTGCCCCTATTTTTGAAGGGGTTTATTAGAACCCTATGTTTATCACCGCTCATACTATAAACTCCACACTCATGCGATTGTGAGTAACAGTTGTTTTGAGCGTTTTAATCCTGTTGTGGGAAAACCACGGATTTTCCAAACATTTGCATCAAATATGGACTCAATTCACAAATTCATTGCATTTTAATTGCGATTAACTATAGATTTAGTGTTGATTTGAGTGAAGATTAATGTCTTAATGACAACAATGTATGAAATACTTGTAAACGATTTGTTTGATGACTTGAGTGATGAAAACAAGAGACTTTTAAGTGAGTTATCACTTGAGAGACAATTGACTGAAGTTTTGGATAATATCCGAAACAATGCGTTAGTTTTGACACAAAACTGCAAATGCATTGCAAACCAACACTTAACCCAAACTATCAATCAATTCAATGGTGTCTACAATGAGCTCAAGAGTCGGCAAAGTCTGCAAAACACTTTCAAATCAGGTATTAATTGGTGTATTGATTTGGTTTACCATTCATTCAATTGTCTGTCACTTTAGCCGATA